CCCGTGCGCCCCCCCCTCCTCCCACTGAAGCCCCCATGGGGGGAACAAGCTTTTAAGCTGGCTCTCCCAACACTGGCTCCTGCTCACCTCCACCCCTCTCTGCCTCTAACACAGAGGCAGCAAGGGGTAGGTGGGAAATGCAGGTAGTCAACTAGATTAACCAATAAATAAGCCTAGGCTTATCGATTAATTGGCTAGTTGACTACTCGTTCACATCCCTAGCTTAGAAGATGTCCCATGTTAAATTGCCCGACTCTAAGTATTGTACCTTTCTTGTGCTGTGATAATTCCACTTCACAATGGGAACACCAGTTGTCATTTTTGTCTTGGGAAGCCTATGTCCCTGACACAGGCTTAGTATGTAAAACTTTAAGAGGCAAGAGGGCACACCTCAACTTTAGTTTTTTGGGGGTCGTGGGGGTTTTTTTGTTTTGTTTTTTGGACTGGCATCTGTTCCACGAGTGTGCAGAAGTGCCTCTGTAAGTTCTGGATGAAACTCCCAGGCTTCATCTTCAAAGAGCAGCTTTGGGTATAGATAGGACTGTTAAAGCCCAGGAAGAAGCATGAGTCCTCTGAGAAAAGCAGAGGCAAATACCTCCTGGAAATATCCCGTAAAAATTAAGTTCAGGTCACTCCACTATTACCAATCAAAGGAGTCTCTCTGCCCTGAGTGGGAAGCTCTGTATTTCGGACTCCTTTACTGCTTTAGGCTTGAAAGTTAACTGTGTCTGGTGCTGAGGCCAGAGCATCAGGGAACATCTTAGCCTGAGCACTTCAGCACTGGCTATTATGGTAGCAATCCCATTGGTATGGGTCTCTTTGGTACTGCTTACTGTGGCACTGAGTGTGTGGAACTAGACACGTTAGCACTGTCAACCCCAAAGCTGTCTGCTCCCACCTCAAGTTGTACCGGACCACTCCTCTCAGTACCAAGGAAGTAGGTACTGAATCTTCAAGTTTTGGATAAGTTGAGATTTCTGCTGCAGATCTAAGCATTGCCGCTACACTACACAGATCTAAGCATTGCCGCTGTTATAGCAGAGCCCTCTACTTCATCAGCATGGAGCGCCTCGCTCAGCATTGTTATTGCTCAATTACTATAATGCAATATACCACCCCGGCTTTGGCCTCTACCTTTTAGACCTAGTATACTTTTTCACCTTGAGATTCTCATCACAGCAGGAAGGGATCCCTTTTTTGAACGTTATGGATCAGAGGGAGTATCCAAGGCTTCACACATGTTTAGATCTCATAGGAGGAATACATGCAGGTATATACCTAGTATCCTTTGTCTTGGCACCCAGGCCCTTTTCTTTGTAGTGTTCCAACACTGTCCTGTCTTCACCACTCCAGATGTTTCACTTCTGCATGACTTCTGTGGGTGACAACCTTCTTCCTTGCACCCTCCCAGGAAAACTAGGGTATCTCCGTTTTGTAGCCCATGAATCTGAGGAACTATTTGAGGAGAAGCAGTTTCAGGCTTAATATCAGATGATGCTACCTGGTATCATCCCAGCTACACATTCTCACCCAGATGACTATAGGTTGAATCTCTCTAGTCCGGCACCCTTGGGACCTGACTGGTACCAAACCAGAGAATTTGCCAAACCACAGGAGGTAAATGTTGTCTAGCAGCATTACCCACATTTCCACTGCTTACTGGGCTCTTAGAAGACATTTAGAGGTAAATTAGAGTTAAATACCAGCACAGAACACTGAGAGCCAGGACTGGTGGCTGTAAACAAATTTTATGGTACCACAGGAAGTTTGGCCGCACCCATCATAAGTGGACATCTGGGTAACTAAAATAATGCCAGACCATGGATGCTGCGGGAGTGCTGGAGTAGAGAGTGTCAAAACGAGCCTTACACTCAGTAAAAGGTACAGAGAATAGTTTATTTAGAAATGCTGCAGCATAACGAGAACCCACCAAAGTGTGTTCTACCTTAGAATACAACTCCTCTTATAGTAGGAGCTACATAACAAACTATCACTGTGCGCATGCTTGTTACTGGGCAAAGTTTCAGCATGATTACATTCTCTTTTATGATAAAATGTTTCACTTTCTCACACCTTCAAACTACGTGACCTTCTCGCCTACATGAAAAGGCAAGCTATTTACAGGATGGATTTCACAAGAGGTTCAACCTGCACAAGAGATTTCAAGATCTGCTTGTAAACTTAGTTTCCACAAAAACAAGATATACACTTAACTGGCCTATGTATCCTCTTGTGAGATCCTTTCTTAAATTAAGAGTGATAAGGCAAATTACATTGTGTATGTGGACTGCAATACCTTCTTGGAGTTCTATTGATTTCATAGGGAGGGTCTGTGTCATAGTGGCTACAGTTCACCCATGGATCTTGTACTGTAATTGGGACATAAATGTGTTTGCACAATAGGACTTTAATTCTGCTTGAGGTATTAAAGTACTACTGTAATAATATACTATTGTTAATTAATTAATTAAATGATAAATTTTGTTATTTTATGTGTTTTTCTGTCTGGTCACCTCTTTGTTTTTACATTAAAATCAGTGTGTCTTTTTTCAGAAATAATTTTGTCTACCACAGATAACCACATATTTTCACATATCTGTATATGGAAACCATTACATAAATGTATTGATTCATTTATATTATTCCTTTACAGTCCCAGTGGGTCTTTATTATCCTGCTTGGAGCAGGTGAAGACATACCTGCTGACTGATGGAACCTGCAAATGTGGCTTGGAATGTCCTCTCATTCTTCCCAAGGTAAAAAGTAGCTATAAACATATATGCAACATTGTCTGCCAAATAAATTATGTCATTATTTCTGCTATGCCATAATTTCATTCATATTTAAATGGTATGTGTAAGGCAGAGGGCAGGCAAAATATAGCCTGCGGGTTGGATTTGGCCCACCAAGCCTTTGAATCTGGCCCGCAGCACACCCCTGCAGCTCAGAGCAGCTCCATGCCACACTGAAAGCAGCTGGCTGCTCCCTGTGGTTTCTGTGCTGTGTGTGTGGGGAGGCTTCATGAACTGCCCTTGACCCCCCCAGAACAATCTCTCAGCACCTGGAATCCACAGCGCAGGGAGCCACATGGAACAGCCGGCCACTTTGAGCAGTCTGAGGCTACTGACAGGCAGGGAAGCCTGCCTGAGAGTCCTTCTGGGCTGCTGGCTAGGAGCTGCTTAGGTAACTGGCTCCCGACCACAGCCTGTCTCTGGCACTCAACCCCCTCCAAAACCCCAACTCCCTCCCAGACTCTGCACTCCCTCCTATGTCCCTTCCCTAGGCTAGTATCCTCTCTTGCACCCATATCCCATCCTGGATCCTGTACCCCAATTCCCTGCCCCAAGTCACAGCCCCTCCTTCACTCATACTCCCTCTCAGACCTCCACACATTCTCCTACACCATAGTACCCCCAGCTTCCTTCTGCACCCAACTTCCATCCCAGACTCTACACATCCTCCATAGAAAAGTGTGGCCCTTGACCACTTACCAAATCTTAGAGTGTCCCCCACTATCAAAAATTATAGCCCACCCCTGCTGTAAGAGGACATGTTACATAGCTTAGATCCAAAATATAGAATTTGTTTTTTGTTTTTGTACAGCTGGTTATTGTGTATTGGAGGAAAGGAGGAGTCATGGCAAGGGGAGTTATAAAACCTAACATGAACACAAATATTTTTCATGACTTTATTTTTTGTAAGTTTCCATTTGTTTAAACGTTTTCTTGTAGTGTTGGAAAGGTAATGCAACAACATTATAATAGTGCGTGAGACCCAGAAAAAGATACTTGACTGATATAGGAATTTCAAGGCAAGCTGACAATAGCACCTTCTGTAGAATTCCCCACACTTTTGGGGTCAGATTCATAATATTTTCTGCTTATAAAATATACAGTTTACATATATATATAAATATATATACAGGGATCAACAAACCGTGGTGAGATCTATTTGCCAGCCCCACACCGCGCATGCGTCAGACCAGCACTGCACATGTGTGCAGTGCCGGTGAACGGGGCGAACAGCTGAAATCTACTCGCCACGGACGAGTAGAAACAGTGATTTGTCTAGCCGTGTGTGTGTGTGTGTGTGTGTGTGTGTGTGTGTGTGTGTGTGTGTGTATGTATATATGCAGAGCTCGCCAAACTGCGGCGAGCCCTGCTTACCAGCTGCGTGGTTCAGCATGCTGTTCTGTGCATGCGCTGATTGTGCTGCGGCACCGTGCTGGGCTATAATCTACTCGCCCAAGTCTGGGATGGAAGTAGCAAAAAGCTAAGTGTGGCTATCAAATAATATCCAGAAATTGGGTCAAGTCATGGTAAAATTCTGAAATTCATAATACGACATTAGTATATAGTTGTAAACTGTTGTGCTTGATCCCAACCACTTATAGATTTTTTTTAAAAACTGGTTATCTAGTGCACTAATGCTGCTTTCTTTAAAGTTCGTTCAAATAAAATAAAGGGCAGATTGTATACCTTTATTTGCTTTCTATATTAAAACTTTCATTGGTTTACAGGGTTGACTTGATATTACTAACTGTAGTTGATGCTGTAGTGTGGTTGGGACACAGATTCTTTCTCCTTCCCAACCATCGCTCACCCAAATTCACACCTTAAAAGAAAAACGTGGTAGATTATTTCCCACTATCCTCTCTTACCATGTAGCCTCATTACTACTCCAAGCAACCTCAGGCATCCACTTTCTTTTTATTCATACTTAGACTGTGGTACTCTTGCCCATGCCCTTTGTAACCCAGCCCTCTCTTGATTGGTAGCCAGCTGGTAGAACTGCTTCAGAAATTCATTTTCTCGATCTGTCTCACCTAGTTGGGTAGACAGAGAAAGGAGGAGATGTGAGTGAAAGTGAGAGAGGTCCAACCCTCCATGGTGGAAGCAGGAAAACCAAGCAAGGTATATACCACCCACCACTGTCTGGATTCAGCAGGCTCTGCGGCAGGAGCAGTGGGCTTGCAAGCAGTATCCAATAAAGAAGATTATAGGACAGTCTACGGGTGAGGCAAGAGATCCACCAAAACATACTATAAAGGCTGATGTACTATGAAATGCAAGATATGTGATGGGGATTATTTAAGGAATTAAAGCAAATTTAGTTCAGATATATTTTTGGAGTTTGTTGACTTTGTTTCTAATATGAGGGTTTTTTTCAGGTATTTAATTTTGATCCTGGAGCTGCTGTGAAACAGAGAACTGCTGAAGATGTTAAAGCTGATGAAGATGTCACTAAGCTATGCATTCATAAACGGAAAATTATTGCTGTGGCTACCCTTCATAAAAGCATGGAAGCTCCTCATCCTTCTCTGGTTCTTACTAGCCCTGGGGGTGGAACAAGTAAGTAATATTATTCAAGGAAAAAAAGATTAATTGGACTACATGATTTTTTAAAAAGTTAGAAACTACTTCTCTAAAACAATGAGTACTCTTGTAGCACCTTAGAGACAAACAAACATATATAGTATAATAGACTTTCATGGGTAAAACCACTTATTCAAATGAGCTGCAGTGGAAAAAACAGAATCACAGCAAAAGAAGGGTCCCGTGATGATGTGGCTTGTATAGAATTGGCAACGGTGTTTGTTGCAGGGGTAGTAGGTTCCTGGGTGCATGTATCTGAGATGTGGGAACCTGCCCCATTCTTCTGCAAAGGAATTTTACCACCCAGTTATACAGAGAAACTGCAGAATTGGAAATCATCTACAAATTTCACATTGTTACCCTGGGCTTGAATAAAGACATTAACTAGTTAATGCACTACAATGCCAATTTCCCCTAACTTTGACATCTGCATTTTCCCATGAAAAGCTATGAATGGGACACATCCAGCCCTGTTAATGAACTTCATTAACATGGATCTTATAATTGACTAGTACTACTTTGGCTGGTTTTTTTAATTAGATATAGATATAGATATCTTGGTTTCTATTATTTCCACTCCAGCTCATCTGATGAAGTAGGTTTTACCCACCAAAACTCATGATACTATATATTTTTGTTACTCTCTAAGGTGCCACAGGACTACTTATTGATTTTAAAGTTATAGACTAACACTCTGAGATTCTCTAAACCAGTAAATAACTAATTTCAACTCCCTATGCTGATGAAATTTTAAAGAGGAGAATTTTAAAGTAGACAAGTAAAAAAACTGTATATATTTGAGATATATACAGAGATGTTAACTTAGACACAACTGTGGTTTGTACATATGTACTTAAATATTTTTGGATTACCATTTATGATTTTAAAGGTCTGCCTTAATACTTATGTACAATGTAACTAATGCTATTAAGAGCCTTTACTTTGGAGTTTTGTGACTGACGTGCATTTCTATTTTCAGAGCTATTATTGTATGAATGTACTGTAGCTTTCTTTGTGTAGTATCATATCATATTTCTATAAAAGGAAAGAAAAAAATATGCTTATCTTTTTATATGCTTATCCCCATCCAACTAATCCCAGTTGTCCAGTTTTCCCTAATTTCCTTCTTGCTTACACTATTATCCGTGTCCTAGTTGAAGCAATACTTCAGTACACAGCTCCTCCCAAAACTAAATGCCCCAGCAAAAGTAAGAAGATTGCCTCTTCAGATATTAAAAGGAATGGAAGTGCGATTATGTACCTATATCCCACATTCTGTGGTATGCTCTTACATAGATTTGTTTTTGTAATTTAGTTCCAAAGTCAAATGTTATATGCATTTGGCTGAGCCATCTGCATGTTGATATGTGCATATGTTTAGTGGAGTCCAGGTTAGTTTCTGCATCTGTTAAGGGATAGTAGAAAGGAGTTTGTCATAGTGATGTAGTTAGGAGAGACTAGCAACTATAGTGAAAGCCTAATTTCAGAGCAGCATGTGTGGATCGTTGCCTTGTGGCTGGTAGGGTTGCCAGGTATCCAGTTTTGACCAAATGCCTGGTCGAAGAGGGACTCTGGTACTTCCAGTCAGCACAGCTTCCGCAATTCCTGGGACGCAGCTAATATGTCCCTCCAGCTCCTAGGCAGAGAGGTGGCCAGGAAAATTCTGTGTGCTGCCCCCGCCCACAGGTGCCACTCTGAGATCTGTCTGTGCTGCTCCCAGTTGCAGGGAACCACAGTTTTCGGCAATTAGAAAGTTGTCAACCTTATTATGAGAATGGACGATTTGTAAGTGGGGGAATTTATATGAACCTTTGTGTGTATTGGAATGTGCAGTTTCTGTTATCCAAATTAAACTTTGCATGTTCTGAGGCTATATGCCAAACATGCAGTGGTGTTCTTTAAGGGGAAATAAATGAAGTCTAAGATACAAGTACCTAAAATAAGCAAACTTGGCAGAAAAGCTTCAGTTTTTGTTTCTGCTGCTTATAATGTCATCCCTAAGGCAAAATAGGAAATAAATAAGGGATTTAGAAAAACAGATATTGGCAGGTAGAAAAAGAAAGATCTTTTTCTATGTGTGAGAAATAGTACTGAGGCTGGATTCAGAAGTATTGAATTTATTATGCACTTACAGTAAATCTGTAATGCAAAAGTACACAGTTTGCATTTGTACAGATGTGTATACACTCTGCATAAGGCTCCTCCACCTGAAAAGAGTCCCCTTCCAGCCCTCTATCCAGAACTCAAAACCTAACATATACTCTATAGATACTTAATAAATAAATACTACCGCAACATCATCATCATCATATTTGCAATTCAGCAAAGCGTTAAAGTACATGTTTAAATACATCCCTATTTACCAAGAGGACATAAGCATTCGTCTTCATAAATGGACTGGTAAATTGGGACCAAAATGAGTCTTCTTCATTGAACCAGCTACCATGTTTGAAATTTTAAACCTCGGAAAAATTTTTAGTCCAAAAAAGTGCATTTTTTTTAAAAAGACATAATAAATAATTTTCTATTCACTTAAATAGGAGGGATTTTGTTGAAACGTTCTCATAGTAATATAGCCATTCCTACTAAATAATTTGGTCTGCTTTTTTGTGTCTGTTTTGTCATATTCTGTACTTTTAAGTATTGTTTAGTTCTACTATTTTGTACATTCAGCATACTGCTTTTAAAAGCTAATATTGATATCCATGATTGCCTAGAATTAAAATATGAATAATTAAAAACCCATTTGGTTTCTCAATTACAATTAGAGACAGAAAAGGTGATTTCAAATGTAAATACCAAAATATGATACGCTTAAACTTAATGTTTTAACTTTTTGTTTAATAATCAGTGTAGAAGTACTTTAAGAGCCAAATCATAAGGCTCAAATAAAGGCAATGGGAAGTCCTGTGTTGTTCCATTATACAGACATGTCTGCACTGCAGCTGGGAAAGGGCCTCCCAGACTGGGCAGATATACTCCCCTTAGCACTGCTTGTGCTAGCACACTTAAAATAGCAGTGTAGCAATTGTAATGGGATGCAGGTGGGACTAGCCACCTGATATCCGACTCCCTGGGTTGGGAAGGCGTGAACTCAGTAGGGATGTAATAGTATAGTCGATTAACTGATCAACCGATAAGGAAAAGCTTATATACTACATGCTATAGACTACATGGATTTCCCTCTCCCCGTCTCCCTGCCAGTACATTTTTTAACAGGCTGGTCAGCTGTCTGACTCAGTCCTGGTTCGCACTGGGTCCAAGACCTATCCCCGTTTCAGCTCTGCATTTCAAGTGTATTAAGAGCCAGCAAGGCAGGCAGGCAGTCCAGCTCAGTTCTGGCTCGCACTGGGTCTGGGAGCTCAGATACCTCCCCAGACAGGGACTGCTGCCACCCCGTGCTGCTGCCTCTTTCTCAGAAGCAGCAGCACAGAGTGACAGGCAGCTGGTCCGCAAGGGGAGATGGTTTTAAACTGGCTCCCCTCATGGACTGGCTCCAGCCTGGCACCCTGAGCTGCTGCTGGCCCCGTCCCTGGGGACTATAGACTAGTCGACTAGCTGATAAAATGTCATGAGGTTGCTTGACTATTCAATTAACCAATATGTAACATCCCTAGGAGTAGGGTAGCATACCCAAATTGCTGTTTATGCCATAACATCTATATCGCTTTTATAATTGCAGTAGCTCAACTAGCACGAACATGGATCTGTGTACCTGGGGAAAGTACATTTCCAGCTGCATGGGTGGACATACCCTATGAGCAGTCAGCATAAAAAGGGGCTCCATAGTGTGATGCAGTGATACCATGGGTTATTGCAGCCCCAGGGAACAACCGGATGGAAAGAATCCATACCCAGCCTAGAGACTTTTCATCACAAGGCCCACATTATATAAGCTGCGTGTTGGAGAGAGAATTTAGCCAACTGCCTCCTACAGTTATTTTCATAGTTTCTTGTTTTATTTCAGGAGGAGCGGGAAGCAGCCCTTATGATTAGTTTCCTAGGGCTTTTCATTATAAGTTTCTTTACATTTTTATTTTTACTTTTTTGAGAAGCTTGAAACATCTCAATTGTTTGCAACAGGCCTCTGAAATCCATAGCAGGAGAGCCCCTTAACTAGAGTAGTGCCTTGTCCCGTGACATTTCAGTCAGGTTTGACTGTTTAAAAATCACCATTTCCCTTCAATTGTTGCATTCTGATAGGGAAACTCTGGCATCATGGCCAAATAATAATGGAACCCAAGTGTTCTCAAGAGCTGCCGCTGAAGCAGCAACATAACCATACATTGCACTGGGAATGCCCAGGAGCTGCCAGAACAGTTACTGTGGCACCGATTGTGGAAGAGCTGAACTAGGAGTCCCCACCTCCACTACAGCCCCAGACCTGGCATATGACTACCGTGGGGTTCCCTTCCCCTCCTCCCCTCTCCCCCCACACACACATCAGCTATGTGCTACCCTTACTTTTAGGAGAACAGAGAGTGAGACAGACAGGCATATGCAGGTCTCACACTGTAAGCCTCTCAGGCCCAGTACATGACTCCAGCAGTCATCCTCTCTTCCTGCATGGAGCAGGAGCGCCTCCTCTCCTGAGGACTTGGTGGTGAAAGAGAAAGCAGAGCTAGGCACAGCTTATGCCCACTGCACTCAGTGCATGATGCCAGATGTTCATTTTTTTCCTTTGGAATAACCACCTAATGCTGCCAGCTAACATAGTCTGATAGTGAAGTGGTAGCAGCCTGTGCTGCGATGCTGAAAGTTTGAGGTTCGAACCCTGATGATGATGTATTACTGGGGGGGAGATTGTACAGTTGCACAAAACATTGTTTTTACCTCTCTCACAGGTATATTAAACTCTGTAGTTTGTTTGTTTTTTCTGTGCCAAAAGGAAGTTATATAAATAGCAAATTCAAGCCCTTAAAAATTAGGATATGACTCATATCCAGTTAGCCATGCAACCACATTTTTGCTTCTTTTTTACATATGCATTATGACACAGTCATTAATTACATGCTCATGTACTATTTTTGAACAGGCAACCATACATCTGGGATTTCTTAACTTTTGAATATTTGCTTTGGAACCTAAATAACTTTTCTTTGTTTTCATATGTAATAGCTACAGATGTTTATGAATGTGTTAAACTTAATTTTTGAACAGATTTCAAAATAGTAATTAATTTTTCTTTACTATCAGGTGCAACACCAGTAGTTCCTTCTCGAGCAGCAACTCCAAGATCAGTGAGGAATAAATCCCATGAAGGAATTACAAATTCTGTGATGCCAGAATGTAAAACTCCATTCAAGTTAATGATCGGGGCATCTAATGCCATGGGTAGGCTTTATGTACAAGAAGTGACTGGAAGCCAGCAACAAGAACTTCATTCTGTCTATCCTAGGCAGAGATTGGGCAGTAATGATCATGGACAGAAGTCTCCATATCGTGGCAGTCATGGTGGAATGCCTAGTCCAGCTTCATCAGGATCACAGATATATGGAGATGGCTCAATCTCTCCTAGGACTGATCCACTTGGAAGCCCTGATGTTTTCACAAGGAACAATTCCAGTTTTCATGGAGCACCCAACTCTAGTCCCGTTCACATGAACAGGACTCCTTTGTCTCCACCTTCAGTAATGCTACATGGTTCTCCAGTTCAGTCATCCTGTGCAATGGCTGGAAGGACTAATATACCTCTTTCCCCAACCTTGACCACAAAAAGCCCAGTAATGAAAAAACCCATGTGTAATTTTTCAGCTAATATGGAACTACCACGAACAATGTTTCACCATAAACCACCCCAAGGTCCACCTCCACCTCTTCCACCTTCTTGTGCTCTTCAGAAAAAGCCATTAACATCAGAGAAGGATCCACTTGGCATTCTTGACCCTATTCCCAGCAAGCCAGTTAATCAGAATCCTGTTATCATTAACCCAACTACTTTCCATTCTAATGTCCATTCTCAGGTACCTGTAATGAATGTAAGCATGCCTCCTGCTGTTGTCCCTTTGCCAAGCAATCTCCCTTTGCCAACTGTAAAACCTGGTCATATGAACCATGGGAGTCATGTACAAAGAGTTCAGCATTCAGCTTCAACCTCCCTCTCTCCTTCACCAGTGACATCCCCAGTTCACATGATGGCATCTGGCATTGGAAGGATTGAGGCATCTCCCCAAAGATCACGCTCATCTTCCACATCATCAGATCATGGCAATTTCATGATGCCTCCAGTAGGACCACAGTCATCTTGTAGTGGTATTAAAGTTCCTCCCAGGTCACCAAGATCAACAATAGGGTCTCCAAGACCATCTATGCCATCAAGCCCTTCCACCAAGCCTGATGGACTTCATCAGTACAAGGACATCCCTAATCCATTAATTGCTGGAATGAGTAATGTATTAAATCCTCCAAGCAATGCAGTTTTTCCTACTGCATCTGCTGGAAGTGGTCCCCTGAAGAGTCAGCCTGGTTTGCTGGGAATGCCTTTAAATCAGATCTTGAACCAGCACAATGCTGCCTCTTTTCCAGCAAGTAGTTTACTCTCAGCAGCAGCCAAAGCACAGCTAGCAAATCAAAATAAACTTGCTGGTAACAACAATAGCAGCAGTAGCAATTCTGGAGCTGTTGCCAGTGGTGGCAACAATGAAGGACATAGCACTTTAAATACCATGTTTCCTCCTGCTGCGAACATGCTTCTACCAACAAGTGAAGGGCAAAGTGGTCGAGCAGCACTACGAGATAAACTGATGTCCCAGCAAAAAGACCCTTTGAGGAAAAGAAAACAGCCAACTACCACCGTATTGAGTTTGCTTAGACAGTCTCATTTGGATAGCTCTGGAGTTTCTAAACCTGGATCTGATTTGATAAGGAAGCAAAATCAAAGTTCATTTCCCATCAGTTCTATGTCTCAGTTACTTCAGTCCATGAGTTGTCAAAGTTCTCATATGAGCAGCAATAGTACCACTGGTTGTGGGAGCTCAAATACTGTTTTGCCTTGTTCTGCTAACCAGATGCATTTTACAGATGCAAATATGAACTCTAGCACACTTCAGAATTCATTGACACAGAGCTTACCTTTAAGAGGGGAAGGTATGCACTGCCAGAATGCAAACACTAATTTTGTCCATGGTACTAGCCCAGGCGCAAACAACCATCTTGCAGGTTTAATTAATCAGATGCAGGCTAGTGGGAACTGTGGGGTGCTCAGTCAGTCAGGAATGGCTTTAGGAAATTCATTACATCTGAACCCACCTCAGTCAAGAATCCACACATCCTCCACTCCAGTGATACCAAACAGCATTGTTAGCAGCTGTAATCAAACAATTCCTGAAGCAGGTAGGTTTCCTTTTAAAAGAATACCCATATGTCTGACAACTTTGAGCTATGTTATGATTTGTTTCTAACTATATATGTTAGGTACTTTTTATGCCTATACGATTAAATGAAAATAGGTGCACCTGTCTCAATCTGATCACCAGATGAATACACAATCAGACTAAGACCAAAACAGCAATAGAATAAAATCAGTTTTTCTTCACAGCAAAGCCTCATGTTCATACAACGTGTAATGCCCCCACCCCTCTAAACACCTACAAAACACTAATCCTCCCAATAATAAAATTATATTTTATTATTAAATTTACAAATTATACTAAACTGCTCAAGATAGTTAAGACCAAAGCAGACTGTGAAGAGCTTCAAAAAGATCTCACAAAACTAAGTGATTGGGCAACAAAATGGCAAATGAAATTTAATGTTGATAAGTGTAAAGTGATGCACATTGCAAAAAATAATCCCAACTATACATATAAAATGATGGGGACCAATTTAGCTATAACAACTCGAGAGAGATCTTGAGGTCATTGTGGCTAGTTCTCTGAAAATGTGCAGCAGCAGTCAAAAAAGCAAACAGAATGTTAGGAATCATTAAAAAGGGGATAGAGATAAGACTGTAAATATCTTATTGCCTCTATATAAATCCATGGTACACCCACATCTTGGATACTGTGTACAGATGTGGTTGCCTAATCTCGAAAAAGAAATATTGGCATTGGAAAAGGTTCAGAAAAGGGCAAGAAAAAGAATTAGGGGTTTGGAATGGGTCCCATATGAAGAGAGATTAAAGAGACTGGGACTTTTCATCTTAGAAAAGAGGAGACTAATGTGGAGATATGATAGAGGTCTGTAAAATCATGATTGGTGTAGAAAAAGTGAATAAGGAAAAGTTATTTACTTGTTCCCATAACATAAGAATTAGGGGTCACCGAATGAAATGAATAGGTAGCAGGTTTAGAACAAAGCTAAGGACATTTTTCTTCACACAGCACACAGTAAATCTGTGGAACTCCTTGTTAGAGGATGTTGTGAAAACCAGGACTTTAACAGGTTCAAAAAAGAACTAGATACATTTATTCGTGGAGGTTAGGTCCATCAATGGCTATTAGCAAGGATGGGTAGGAATGGTATTCGTAGCCTATCAGAGGCTGGAAATGGATGACAAGAGAGGGATAATTGGTGATTCCCTGTTCTATTCATTCCTTTTGGGGCATCTGGCATTAGCCATTTTGGAAGACAGGATACTGGGCTAGATGGACCTTTGGTCTGACCCAGTATGGCCATTCTTATGTTCTTATATACCTGTCCAGGCTGATAAAAACCTCAACTGACACTAGAAATGTATCCAAATATATCAGTTTTGTAGCATGTCCTAAAGGGCAATCAATTTGGGCTATTTAAGAGCAGGGGGAGTGAATTTCAGAGTTGAGGTGCTGTGTAGTATGGTACCAGAGTGAGTGAGTTCTCAAGTGTCAGTTCTTAATATAAACAACACCTTTAAACTCTACCCAGAAAGTAACAAGCAGCCAAGACAGACTCTGAAACATTGTTCGTGGTCCTGGCAAGATACATTTAATTCTAGACCATTGCCTAGAGGAAGCACATTTCAGTAGTCTAATCAACAAAGACTCAAAGGTGCAGAAATGGAGAGTGGGGGGATGCTGCATTGTGCCCAGGGTGCTGTCTGCAAGCACCGCATGCCAGGGTCTCTGCTGCTGCCCCCTCCTTCTCCCTTCCGTGCCAGTGGGCTCTACTGCTAGCCTTGCATGCCAGGGCTTTGCTCCGGCCTTACCAAGGGGGAGATGGACAAGAGTAAGGGGGCTGGATTTCAGCACCTTCACTTCTAAAAGTGTTCCCGTGCCACTGCAAAGACTTGGATAAAGAGAGCAAGGGTCCATATCCAAGAATGTAGGATGTAACCTCCTGACCAGACAGAGATGGAGAAAATACCATCATGATTATGAACATCTAATAGCTGGATGGATAGTAAGATCCCAAAATTGCCGAGTTAATTGACAAGTAGCAAGTTAACACCCTCAGTAACGGAAGCCAACGTAATCATTTTCACATTCTGTGGGTGTTTGTCAAAACCTACCAACACCATCTCGGTCTTCTTTGGTTTGAACCTCTGCCCGCTCATTCAAATCCATGCCCCAGTCACTACCTGACACAGCAAAAGAAGCACAGGCGCATTTTGTGTTAATTCTTTACTATTTATATAAAATATAGGAAAGATAAGTATTCTTCTGGAGATTGTAACAAATGTTCAAGAGTACAGATGGTAGCAAATACCTCCCTGCTTCTTTCTCTTTTATTTTTGTCAATTTTTTTTATTTCTGTTCATCTTAATAATTTTATTAGGTCTATAACTAGACTGTTGAATAAATTATATATTTGAGCTGCAAAAAGATAGCCAGGATCCTGGACTTTGATCTGTAATATATGTCTCCACTTATGAAGATTCCAAGTATGCAAGGTCAGCTCTCCTCTTTCTTGCATGTCTTTATTGTCAAAAGGGAGACATGTCAGAAAATTTCATTCCTCTTTACTAACATTGTCTGAAAGAGTATATTTTGATTTCTCCATGAATTTTTGAAAATGCAAAAATACTAACCAAAGGGAAAAACTGTCTGATATTTTGTAATAGTTTCTGGTGAGTTTTTAAAACCATTAAAAATATAGCAAAATCACTGTGACCTAATGGGTTTTCTCACCAGCCCAACGAAGAACCAGTTCCACTCCCAAATCAGTTTCAGGCTCTTTCCAAAAGGCACAATGTATTGTTTACAACACCAAATTCCTAACACAAAAGCAATGCAATTCCTCTGACAAGTTCAGACTCCTGTTCTAGATGCTCTTCATTTGCCTCTCTGTACCCAACCGTGGCCTCCAAAAAAGCCTTTTAGATCCCTTGAGTCATGTGACTGGCAAGAAGCCCCTTACCCCTTTCTTGTTTTACCCTTATGCTGTCAAAGGCCACTCAAAACAATTTGCTGCCCCAGGCAAAACTTCTCTGTGCTGCCCCCATTTCAGTCCCTTAGAAAGGTGGCTCTCAATCTTTCAATAATACTGTAGCCCCTTCAGGTATCTAATTTGTCTTATGTACCCCCCAAATTTCATCTCACTTATGCTATTTCTTAAAAAATCAGACATAATACTGAAATGTCACAGAATACTATTACTGAAAAATTGCCTCCTTTCTCATTTTACTATACAATTATAAAATAATAGAATTTAAAATAGTATTACATTTAAGTGCTTCATATACACAAATCAGTATAAACAAACCATTGCATAAAATTTTAGTGTATATTGACTTCTCTAGTGCTTTTTATGTAGCCTGTTGTAAAACTAGATACATATCTAGAGGAGTTGATGTACCCCCTCAATGATCTTTGTGTACCCATAGGGCAGCATGGGACATTGTAGACTAGTGAGTGGCCCTCCTCCATGTCAATGGGCTGTAAGATTGTTGTAACCAAGATTGTCTCAAGGGATAGGATAGTTTTGCTAACTGCGCTTATGTACCTAGGATGTGCAGTGCACCACAACAACACTTTCATTGGATGCGGTGGGAGTGCATGGTTCTTATAATGCTGTGTACAATCAGCGTGCACTGCCCTTCACATGCCCTTGCTTTAAGTGTGTTAGTTTTATTCCTATTGGTATTACAAAAATATGTGGACAAAACCCAGCAGAATCTGGCAAGCCTGGGTTTGGACAATGGTGAACAAAATCTCTCATGGGCTACACATAGAACCCCAATGGGCTACGTTCAGCCATTGGCCTCGGGTTGCCCACTACTGTCTTAGGGATACATGTAGCTCTGGTTGTGAACCACTACCTTAAAACAAAGGTTCTCAACCAGCAAGACACACCTCCTAGGAATATGGGGGTTTGTTGGAATTTCTGGTGGGCCTTGCACACCACCTTATGGTTTGTGAACATAAGAACAGCCATACTGGGTCAGAACAAAGGTTTATCTGGCCCAATATCTTGTCTTCCAAAAGCAACCAATGTTAGGTGCCCCTAGAAGGAATGAACAGAACAAGTAACCCTTAAATGACCCCACCCTTGTCACTGGTTTCTAGCCTCTGACAAACAGCAGCTGGGGCACCATTCTTACCCACCCTGGCTAGCAGCCATTGATGGACCTAAAGGAGACAGGCTTCCTGGCTAAGTGTATCCGGTGGCTAGCATAGGGCTTGAACCCTCCACCTTGATATTGTTAGCATTACACTCTAACCAGCTGAGCTAGCTGGGGTTACCAGGAGGAAGGGTGCAAATACCAAGTTACAATGCCACTTGCTCAGATGCCAGCTACCCCTCTGTCTGAAGGGGGGCATGTGTGGGCTAAATCTGAATGAATGGTGTTTTGACTTGGTGCACAGAGTAGCAGTGCCACTCAAGTTTGGCCCTGCCACCTTAGGCACAGTCTGCTGTCCTAGACAGTTGCCTACTTTGCTAATAGCTAGAGTAGCCATAGGTCACAGTGATGAAGAACAGAAGCTCCATAACCCATTTCCCCCTCTGTACTTTTTGCCAAAGGGGAAGTCTTGCCTAAGAAGCAGGTTTTCTTTTTACCTCCGCAAACCTTGCAGAAGATCCTCTGTAGGAACTCCACAGGTTTCCAGATCCATAATGTTGAATGGACACAATGGTGCAGGCATTATTGCCAGCTGGGTTCAGGATTCTCACCACTTCCCAAATACTGGGGGTGAGGGGAGAGGAGGAGTCGGCGGCAGGGGGAGTGTAACCCGCACTCCTAGTGGTTCACTGTCCCATGTGGTGGCACTTACACCACTTACAGTGAGAGATAAGAATTAGTGAGCATACAGCCTAGGTTGCTAGCCAACTGGCTTTATAGCTCAAGCTGTAGAGGCTTCTCCATTAAGCTCCAGAGGTTACAGCTTTGAATCTGCATGTAGCTACTTACAACTGAGGGCTTATTTGGAATACAAAAGCAGTACAAAATAGTATAGTAATAAACTATATTAGCT